AGGAAACACTCACAAACCTGGTAGATGTTTGCCCTAAAACACCCAGGCGCATTGCATATAGGGATACACTCCCTCTGTTAGATGTTCACCCTAACTTGTATCAACATAAAGGCAATTTACCGATTACGCAACAATAATAATATTCGACAACAGATAATCATCGCAGTTATATTAAGTAATCAACACAGGTAATTACCACAAGTATATACGAAATAGGCAAATGCAAAAGTCATGGAATCAACAGGTACCTAGTACCTTAAGTACATGCAAACAAGTACGCGATGTAAACACAACAATTCCAAAGCCTAATCTATTACAACATCAGCAACATTAGTAGAGGGGACTGCAACAACCTCTTCCTTGATCTCCTCAGCAACGACTGTTTCCGCGACGACTTCTTCTTCATCTCCGGCAAGATCAGATTCCAGAAGAGTGCCTTCAGGAATCTCATTTAAGGGTACCAAACGCCCCTCGTATACATCTTTCCTTGGGTCGAAATCAACCCCTTCAGTAAATATGTTGAGGAGATGAGATACTTGTCTCAAGGCCTTCTTGAAACCCCGGGTATGCTCTAACACAATTGCTTCACCTATCCTCTTTTAACTCCTTATCTTCAACAGTTGTAAGGAGTAGGGTGTCCCTTTCTGCCTTCAACGCAGTAATGGCGCTCTTTTGGTTAAAGACCTCCTTCCTCGCCCGCTCTAAATCAGCCATCAGTTGGTCACGCTCTTTCTTCAGTTCGAAGCTGGCCTTCTACACGTTCTCCAATAGTACACGAGCCTCGTTCAACAGCTGCTCAAACTGTTTTTTTCTCTGCTCACATTTTAAATGAGCATCCACCACTTCCTTCAGCTGCATCTGAACTTTTTGCAGCTCAACCCTCACGACGCCTCTATCTAAAGCATACGCAAGATGTCACGTCGCCATAGCCGCTCGACTCACGAACTCTAGGGCTGTATCAACCATCTGTTGCTCGGTCATTTTTTCGACTACCTTCTTCTCAGGTTCGTCCAGATTAAAGGCAATCTTGTGGCCTAAATTGAAGGCTGGATCCCGCACGCCACCTGGAATAGGGCGATCGCTAGGATCTTCGACGTCCTTCATTTTCTTGGAACCCGCCGGCTGGTCAACGCCTTGTCCTCCCTTATGCTTCCTTATAAACGGTCGATCTTAGACGACCATCACGTCTGGAGACGGAGGACGCTCAACCTACGGAGGATTGATGGTCTTTTCTTTTACAACACCCTCAGCAGCCTTCTGACCATCACGAGCGCTGCTCGGCTTGGGATCACTCATGGCCTTAAACCAATCATGTACGAGACCTTTTCTTCCCATGATATCTGCAGGCAAGAGGCAATATTCATAGATCAATCGTGATTAGATAACAATCAAAGATGTTAGTAAAAAGAACATACCAAATACCCTTGAGCCAAAATCATCATGCTCAAGACAAATTATAATTCGGCGGGAAGAAAAGGGGCGTGGCAGCGCGGTCAAAACATTCAAAGTGTTCAGTTCTTCAATAGTCATTTTATCTTCAGACCACGAGGTAAATTTCAGAGGTTCTTGCGTCCAGTAAAGTGGGAACCTAGGGCTGTTATCTATACTGAAAAAAAACGACCGACCTAACTCCGCGATCGTCACTCTAAAGAATTTATCTTTAAAACCTCTAAATGATTGGGAATACAATTCCAGAATGGCATTCCTAGGCTCAGAAATCAAAGAAACCCAACCCCTTATCGCGACTGGGCGAGCCCTAAAGAAGTACAAAAACAAAGATGGGGTCGGTCTAATGGCCAAAGCTTGGCACATAGCGACAAAAAGCCTGGATGTACCCCCAACTGTTTGGATGTAACTGCGTGGGGGAAACATTTAGGGTTTTGAACACATCCATATGAAAAATGCTCAGAGGCAACCTAACATACATATCATAAAACAGACAAGCATTCAACTTTATGCAAGATTTATAACCTAGGGAAAAACCCGTGAAAAACCGTCGGCAAAGTTCTCTTTCCCGTGAAAAACCCTTTCATTCTCCCGACAAGCATTCAACTTTATGCAAGATTTATAACCTAGGGTTCTAAGGATACAATTATTCTCTACCCAATCCTGCAATACAAGTTTGCTCTTAAACAGACTAGCGAAATCACTTACATCGCGGGATACCTAGTCGTAACCACTAACATTGGGCGACGACGACGATGAATTCTCCGGATTCTCGGTGACGACATTACCGTATAAAAACACACTTTCACCACTAAGTATTGTGGTGATTTCGCAATGACTTACGATAGACGACACTCCCGACACTTCGACGTTGCTACTTTGCCCCCTTTCTTCCTCGACCCTGGAGTGCAATCTAAAACAGTGCAAGGATCCATGGTTACCTGATAAGTGCGAAAGAGAAGGAGAGAAAAATCGGAGAAAGAAGAAACTGACGCAAAAATGATAAGCGACGGTTGAATGACTCAGGCTTTTTTCAAATATCCTTTCGCTTTAACGAGGGGAAAATTGACACAAAGCGCTGAATACCACAGGATCAAGATAATCTAACGGCTCTGTTTTTGAGACGTTACAACTGCCTCCAAAGCGGGAAAACCTAAAGCATTGTTAGGTCAATGAAGCGTCTAAATGAAACGGTGCGCAACAACTACTCCCCCCGATGACCATAACTCCGAAGTCCTATAGTCAACCTACCCGTACAAACCGCAATAGGTTAACTCGGACTTGGGGGGCATTATGTATAGTACGATATCCAAACCGAGCGGTTAGCAACCAAGACTGATCGCTCTACCCACTGTAGAAACGCTCGCCAACTATATCAAACGCTCGTAAATTCAACCAACGTTAAAAGCGCTCGTCAAACGACGATAATCGGGTCAGCGCATGTTAAAAGTCAAGCGACACTCAATCAATCCGACCAAACCGGGTTCAGTGGACGCTCAATTCAGTCAAACGATATTGGGCCAATTAGCCCAACATTTAAGTAACTGGACCAATAGTCCAACAAAAGAGGAAATAGTCAAAAATATCTGACCTTAATAACGCGGACAACTAATCGGATTTTAAGAATAACGTGGATCACGACAACTAACCGGATTTTAAGGTAATCAGTTTGTTTCACATTTTATTTACGTTAAATACAATGGAGACCAATGAAGAAAGGTACGTTTTGCTCTAAGACTAAAAAGATCATATTGTGAGAAAAGATCACTCGTTTGAGAACTGAGGTTCCATAACTCATATCTGACTTTAGCATCAAAGTATCTTCGTAGGTATCCCACCCACTTCTATTAAGGAGGACACATTACATCAGTGAAAGGAGTGCGAACAAGTTACAGGAAGGTGAGCAGCTGATATCATTGAGCTGATATCATTGGAGGAAGAGCAATTATCCCAGACGTTCAGAAATAGTAAAACACCACCAACAAGGTTCGTATCTCAGTACTAAATAATCATACTGAAACAAGTACTATTTGCTTTTAAATTAAGCTTTAATACCTCTTTTGATCCCTCGAAAGAGGGTGAATGTTCAGAATTGTCCTACCTTTTTTAAAATGTTCAAAACGGTCCTAAATTTTGAAAAAACTGGTCAACTTAGTCCTTTTTGGTTACAGCGTCAAATTTTTAACGGTGCAGCTGCCACCCTAAACAAAAGTTAATGACGTGTACAGTTTCTCTGACTGCGTGGCAACCCTAATTCCCAAACCCTAGCTTCCTTGGGCCGCCAGCACCATTGGCAGCCGTAGGTCGCTGTCAGCTACCCTGCCATCTTGCCGCAACCTCGCCTCACGTTTCAGGCTCCCTAAAGCCGTGATTTAGAAACCATGGTTGCGCGATCAGGATTACAATTTGGATATGGAATCTCTGTCTGGATTTCTTTTCTTGCAGGTGCTCGCGGTTTGCGAAGGTGGAGAAACCATGGTGTGCAGGTTGCGATATGGAGGTGCGACGTGATGGTTCTACCGTGCGAAGAAGATGATGAACATTGGCCATGGTGGGTTTCTATCGCAGTGGGAGATGGCGGGATTTAGGTCTGGTGGAGGCGCTGATGGCTAGCTCAAGGTTGGGCGAAACTCACGAGGAGATGAATTGAAGAGTTGTGGCGGTGATTTAGGTTTCGAAAGATTTTTGGAATTGGGGATTTCTCCGTTTGGGATTGAAGAGAGTGCTCTTACAATAGTCATGGTGGATGCCGTTCCTTGCAGCTCTACGACGACCTGAAAAGTGTCTCATGGTGGAGATGGAAGTCGAGGAAGATGCTGAAGATGATGATGGAGGACTCGCGACTTTGGCGTTCGCGTTCTATATTGGTGACGGTGGTGGCTACCGGCGGCGACGCTGGTGTTGGGTGATGGCGAGGTTGCGGCAAGACAGCAGTGTGGTTGACGGCGCCCTACGGTTGCCCATGGTGCTGGCGGCACAAGGAAGCTAGGGTTTGGGAATTAGGGTTCTACGCAGTCAGATAAACTGGACACGTCATTAGCTTTTGTCCAGGGTGACAGCTGTATCGTTAGAAATTTAACGCCGTAACCAAAAAGGATTAAGTTGACCAATTTTTTTAAAAGTTAGGACCGTTTTGAACATTATAAAAAAGGTAGGACGATTATGAACATTCCCCCTCTTTCGAGGGACCAAAAGAGGTATTAAGCCTTAATTTAATTACTATAAAGTATATTTTATAAAATAAGAGTTAAAGGTATCAATTAAGAGATCATATATATCATTACTTAAAAAAAAATACATAATCGATATTATTTATATTTATTTTAAATAAATCTTATGAATACATTTTTTTCAATTGAGTTAATGTTTTAAAATACTAAAAAATTTAAATGTATACAAAATAAAGTCCCGTATAGCAATAAATTATAACTGTAGTAGATACAAAAAAATGTCTTAGGAAATTAAAGCAATTTAACAAAAAACTAACATAATATATATTTAAAAAGATTTATAAAAATTATATTTTCTTAAAATTTAAGAAGAATAAATAACCGGTCTTAATATAAATTAAATCAAACACATGCTTAATTTATTCCAGAAAAGAAAAAAAAAGAAGCAAACACGAACACTGCAAATTCGTCTTGAACATCGAAATTTCCGGCGCAGAACACCCTTTGATGGCAACCGACAATTCCGAAGTCTATCACGAAAGGCAAAGATTACAGTTCTGTCTCGTTCATTCTCTCAACTCCCTTTTTCAGGTGCATCTGCTCTTTCCCACTGATTCTTCAAATACCAGCACTATCGACGAATACCCATCCCTGTTTTAATTTCCAATTTCATTTCTTTTTGCATAATTTCACTTATTCACGTTTCTTTCTGCTTTCGGGTCTATTCAATTTCACCTTGATCAGCAAAAGGATGCTTTTACTAGAGCAAAATTGAATGAAATTTCTGAAAGAATCGCAATTCAAGACTCCAACACAGAAACGTGGACCCCATTCTCTTTTATATTCAAGCCCCATCACAATGTTTTCACTGGAAACTATGACGTAAATGTTCTAATTGCGGCTTTGGAAGAGAAAGGAAAGAGTGTGGAGTGGCATGATCGTAGAAAGGGGGCATCTTGCATTGATCTTGATGCACCAGTTTTGATGGGGATTGTGATCAATGTGTCAGCGTCGAGGTTTGGTGGGATGTGGAGAAGTAGGCACTGGATTGCATTGAGAAAGATTAATGGGGTTTGGTTTAACTTGGACAGTGACCTTGACGCCCCTCAACCTTTTCTTGATACACATGAAGTAAGGGAGTTCTTGGATGTTACATTGGCTCATGGAGGAGAGGTTTTGATTGTCTTGAACGAAAAATAGTCTTGAAAAATTTGAATTTAATATTTGTTCACTCTATTTAGAAGTTAAATTCGGATATTCTTGTGTACAGTATCAGATTGATTGTATTTAAATGTAGTATCAGATTGATTGTATTTCAATGTAGAATGTAGCTTTGCTCATCCTCTTCTGAAGATTTTTAATGAGTTTGTTTTGTGAATAATGGTTGAAACTGCTTCTAGAGGATGCTCTTAATAGGAGATAGTATCTTTTCTGTAATACACTTGTTAAGCTGAAGTTTCCATGTGTGTCTTGGACCTGTGCTTCTTTTGAACCATTAAGCAGGACATGTGTTTTTCTTTCTTGAAATGCCGTACATACAAAATTTACAATGAAATTGTTAATAGCAGAAAAACTGTTTTGTGCAATGTACTTCAGTATCATCAAATATACTATAAAGGAATCTAACTTGGAAACATTCTTTGAACTTTAATTCTAGTGATCTATGAATGGAATACTTATCTTTGACTTACAATTTCCATAAGGTGATGATCACCAAGTATAGACCCTTCATTTACAATTGTGGGATTACTTTTATATGGTCAGTTAAAGCCATGGAGGCTGCATAGATTGGTGTGTAAACCATCCTATATGATATTTCTACGTACAGGCATAGAAGAACAAATGTCCCCAGACTTCTTTTTTAATAACCACAGGTAACTTCAATCTTTTCTACAGTTGCGACTTGTAAAATATTATGCAGCTATTACCTACAATGTCTTATAAATAATCACATATTCTCTTGGTATTGATTGTCCATAATTTTGATTCGGGATTTTAATGAAAGATTTTGTTTCTTAATGCAAGCAAGTTATCAAACAGCAAGGTTAATGGCCATCTTTTGTAAATATTCCTTTGGGCATTGACGGGTGGGATAAAAGAAATTCATTTTACTAAGATATTTATTCTTTATGGATAACCCTTTGTGGAGTGTACAAATTCATTCCCCTGATCTGCCATAAAAAGCGTCTAACTCATATATGGCTTCCTATTGTTCCATGCTAATAGATGAGGTACAAGTTGGCTTGTTTGTCTCGCTCCGCCATGGATCAGTTCTTTCACAAGACCAAAAGCAACGTTAAAAAGGTCAAAGTTCTGGAGGTTTGATCTAAAGTGAGGCTTTTACTTTTATTTTCGAAGTCCTGGTAGAAAGCCATGGTGATGTTCTCCTTTTGTAAACAGCTGCTAGAATATATGTAATCAATTTGGATGATTTTTTCAATCATAATATATAGTAGAAGAAATTGAATCAAACTTCTTTCATAATATAAAAAAAACTTATACACTTCACCTTAACAAAAAAAATAAAATGAAAGCTTTTGAACTTGATGTGAGAGTGTTAATCTATTGTCTGCTTAATTCCTCTTATTTTCTTCGAAGTGCTTAAAAGAAGTATATTCAAACTAGTATTCTAATTATCAAAACATGTTGCCACTCAATTTCATGATTAACAGATTGAGTTATTAAATCATTTCAACATCTCAGTGGAGAATATCAAACCTTTGGCCATTTCTTTTGCCATGTGGTCCACTTGTAACCATATTTGCTAATAATTTGCTGATAAAGGGCAGAAGGGTAACTCACCCGAAATATTTCCTTCTCTGCATAACAAAAAAAATAGCACCACGTTGTTCTGAGGAGCAGCAATGTGGTCGAAAGTTTCACACCAGGTGTTGACTGTTTTTCACTTCAATGAGTAGAAATTAGTTTGTGACTTTAAATCGTCAAACTCCTTGGCATGCTGGATGAGGATCTTTTGCATTCTTTTAGTCAAAAGATCCAGAAAATCATATTTTATTTCTTACTTCGGAAGTTTCACACCGTATTTCTATTCGAACTTTCTTAGTTTCATATCAGGCATAAATTTGGAATCATATCTTTAGATGTTTGCTACTTAGCCACATTTTTATTACATCTCTATATTCTGTTGATAATAAAACAAGAATAGCACACACATTCTTACCCTTTATTCCCAAAAGCATGATGTTAAAGCTGTGAGGACTTTAACATCAAAAGATATCATTTTTCTTTTTCCAATGCAAAATGAAGACCGATCAAATCATGTCAACTAGTTCACACTATTCTTTAGAGATAAATTATTTAACAGAAACTCGGTTGGTTGTCTTGCAATGAGCTTTAAGAAAAGAAATAGAAAAACAATGCAGCATTCTTACTGGTGGTTCTGAGAGCATCTTCAGAGAAATGAGTGAAAGAATGTAGCCCCCACCTTCCTGATTTTTAAAACAGTTTCTTGCTCTGAGGGTAGGATGAGTTTGGAACTGGAATGATGACTCAATTACTTTAAAATAAAATATTCATGCTATCTTTGATTATACTCAACTTAGATACCGCTTCTTTCTCCACTACATGGAAAAGCTTAAACGTGTGCTCTGCAAAGTCACAGGGCGGCACTGCATCTGCAATAGAAAGTAATAAAGAGGGCTAGTGTATCTGCAACTTTCTACACCTTTAATATGACCTTTCTCACCGTCTATATTTCACTTTACACACATATATATAAATAAATATGAAAGTTTTATCAGGTTAGAGATAAGAGAATAGAGGAGTAATATCTTATATTCTAATGAATGGTTAAAATTAAAATTAGTCTAAACAATTTTGATTATCCTAGGAGAGTGGAAGAAATGAAACTTCTATAGCAAAATATTATGTATGTAACCAATGTCATGTAAAAGAACTTGGTTGATATTGTGGTTGCTTCCTTGTACTTTTACACATTTCTTTTATGACAATAATGGAACTGGTAGGAGAAATAGTGTAAACAATCTCATCTAGTAAAAAGGACTTGAGTATTGTTGCGGTTTTTCCCTTGTACACATTTCTTTCATGATGGAATCAAGAGAGTCCTATAAATGGTTGTTCCTCACTCACATAAGAAACTCCTCATTCTACAATTCCCACCTCTCTAAAGATTCTGCTTCCAAAGTCTCCCCTACAATCCCTCTCAACTTTATATAACATCATCATTGCTCTCTCTCCTAATGCTGCTATCATCAGTCAAACTGGAATAAGCAACAAAATGAGTCACAGTGGCTACATCAATGAAAAAACAGGCTTGTCCTTGAGACAGAATTCCAGCAGGAAATCAACAAGAAATGGACAAGTGAAGAGTTGCATGTTCAGGATTCCTTGGCAGTCTGAGACCTCTCCCGTTGAACTTGTGAAGGATCTTGCAGAAAGAATAACTAATGCTCTACGCTTGATGTCTTCAAGGAGATCTTTACACCGAGGCTCTTCTTCCCTAACAAGATCAAAATCAGCAGGCTCCTCTGTTGATTTTCATAGAACTGCTGCTGTTGAGGACTGCATTGAGTTCATCCACTCTTCTTTTTCAAGATCAAACTCTTCAACCACAGCACCCCGCCAAGATTCTGTACAAGCTCCTTGATTTGAGACAGTTACAATCATGTGCTTGATGCCATGTTAAAGTGTATATCTTCCTTTCTTCTTTCACCTCATAATGATGGGAATTAAGCCATCCTTTTATGCTTCTGTACAAACAGAATCAGTGTATATTCATTCTTCTGATAAATTTCTTACAAGGTGTTTTAAGTTTCAATGAAACAAATGCAATAATCGAAGTTTTTCTAAGAAATATTATGTGAAATGATTGGTGGGATTTTATGTTTAACGAAGCACACGCTGAAACCAATAATGAAAAGGGTTACAAGAATATGAGACGAAGATGTAAAATCCTCACACTATATCTCTATTACGTTGGTTTGTTCATCCTTGTATGGATCTCTTGCATAGCATCGTTACTCATTCTCGTTGGAGTATGAAATATATAAGCCATGAAATACTTCCCTTGTCTCTTCATTACATGCATGGATGACAGTGAGGGTTCTTAGCAAGTAGCAAACGTGAATGATTTTGTTTTGACAATTTTGCTAACTGCTAAGGTGATCAACTGTTGGTGAAAGCTCAAAGAATAAGGTTCTTTGTCTCAAATAGTTTCTGTTTTTCAAAGAACTGGATCTTGATTAGTTGGTCATAGAGTTGAACTTGATTTTATTTTCTTCCAACTTTTCTAACTTTTCCTATAAATAAATTGGAGTTAAGTAACTTCTAATGTAATGAAGCCATAAGCTTAGTCCTATTTGGATGACTTAATCAGGTCTAATTACAAATGAACATTAAGGAAATATGCAGAAAATATTCTCGTATTGAAGTGAATGACAATAATAGAGGGGTAAGATTCCTTGATGATAGGAAGCAAAAATACCCGTGAAACAGCAAAGGAAAGATTTTATTCTTAATCCAAGGATTTGATCTGCCTAATTTATTGAGTCATAAAATCCTTAATAATGCTCATAATCGCCATATAAAGCAAGAGCTTTTAATTTGTCAAAACTAAATTGTGCTTGCTTGTAACTGAACCAAAATGAATCTATTTATCGTGAAAAAAGGATAACTTAAAAAATCTAAGTGAAGAAGACTATAATGCTTACATAATATCATCATAACTATTCACAACTAAAATATAATGTTCAGTATGATAATAACAAGTTATCGCAACTAAAAAAAAAATAATAATACACACAATAGACAAAAGTGTAATTTCATAAAAAAATAAAATAAAATTATATGTTCTTCTCTCTAGTTCCAAAGAGGAAATAATACCATATTATATTGTAAGTAGGAAAAACAACTATAAAAAAAATATTAAAAGAAAAAATAATTTTCTCTCAACTTTTTTTCTCACACATTAAAATAATAAAAAGAAAGAATAGACTTTGGAATAATATAAGAAAACATAGTGCTTTTTTTATAACATGAAAAAAAAAAACAGGAGGTGAGTTCCTCTACGTTGAGACTTCTTTTCTTATATTCTTCTATTTGAAGATTTTGTAATCTTCTTTTCTTATATTCTTCTATTTGAAGATTTTGATGAAATTAATCAAATCTTCATGTTTTACTTTTTTATCATGATAAGATTAATTTATGTAAATGTATATCAATTTTGTCTAGGTTTTTAAACAAAGTGGTAATGTAGACCTATGTGCTTTGTTCTTCTATAATAAAAGATAGTATTTTCAATGTGCAAAACACTCTTAGTGTCACAATATACAATGCGTTTAACTTTTGAAATCAAATAGCTTGCTTGCAAGCTGCGGTAGCTGCCATGCACTCAACTTTTCTAATAGACAGAGTTACAACATATTGTAACTTGGATAACAAACTTACTGCACTTCCTACAAAATTTGAATCGACATAACACTTGACAACTAATTTTAATCCTTTAAAACATAATGCAAAGGTTCCTTTGATACATCTAAGGATCTCTTAATGAAACTTTAATGTTCTCATCCGAATTTGCTGTGAACCTACTAACCAATTATGTTACTTGTACAATATTCGATCTTGTATAAATCATAGAATAAATGTACTAACGCTATCTAATAGAATCTATAATAACTTAAATATTATTAAAAAAGTAACCAAAAATATTAGTATGGGTAAACTAACCCAAAATCGTCACTCAACGAAGATTAAATTAATTTTTAACATAAAGTTCTTATAAAATTTATACTAAAAAGGTTAGTCAAATAAAATAGAAACAATAAAATAGGATAATGATAAATAAAATAAATATAAGTCTTAAACTATATAAGAAAATAATAAATGAAAAAATGAAACAAAATAACAAAAAGATAAATAATAAGGAAAATAAGTTGATTCCATTTCATAACTGGTTTTCTAAAAAATATTATTCGATTTATTCTTGTCCTAGATTTCAAATTAATGAATGTAACTTCTCAATTAATTTAATGACATTCTCATTATTAACCAAAATAATTTTCAATTAAAAGTAAAAACACTTTAGATTAATGATAGCAAATTTAACCAAACTAACTTAATTAAATATTATTATGCCTAATCATGTATTTGTTTTATCTCTTTTATCAAATAAAAACTGATTAACCAAATAACTTATTGATTTATTCTAATTAAAATATGTCCCTTTAGAATAGAATCACCACAAATGGACATCATGTACTCTACTTTGAAAATCTATCTCAAATTCGTGAAAATATATGATAATGTAATTATGAAAAGAAAGCACAAGAAAAAAAAATATGGGCATGCATACATAAACGAGGCATGTGAACCTTCAATTGATTAATGATTAAAATGTAGATTTAAAAATTAAGGGTTGTGATGTGAATCCAACCAATGATTGGACGTGACCATGAGCAACAACAAGGATCCACTTAGAGGACCTATGACAAGAGTTAGAGCAAGGAAAACAAAGAAAGCCCTTCAACAACTGTTGTCCATATTAATTGAATACAAGCTTAAATTTCAAGGAGAAAAGTTCAAGATGGTGAATTGCATTATGGCTCAAATGGAGGAGAACTAAAGCACCATTACTTTTCTCTTTTTTTTATAAGTTAGTTTTTTTTTTTAAAATAGCTTAATCTTTGTAAAATTGGTTGACTAAATTATGTCTTGCGGTCAATAAATTAGTAGACTTTAGTTTGACTTTATTTTCAAGTTACAATAAGGACCTAGTTTGGAAACATAAACATCAGCCCTGATAAGCTTAATTATTTTCTTTCAAGGTTCTAACCCTAAAGATCCTCAATTATCCATTTCGTAAATGTGGTTCACACAATTTATGCAGAGAAATTTCGAAATTTAGTAAAAACAATGGGGAATATCTTGAGCTATAGAACTCCGATTGGGGTGTTTTCAGAACAGTGTGAAAGATCACGTTCTAAACTACAAATTAGGCTCAAGAAATACTCAATTTGGATGTGTAGAACACAAGTTATGACCATGAGATAAACTGGACAAAAATTGAGATTCTATAAATCGAGAAGGAGAAAGAACAACGAAGAAAAAAGATAAACAGAAGGAAAAAATCACTCTTCCACCAGAGGCAACACAAAAAGGATAGAAATTCTTTTGATAAAACCAAGGATTTTTGAATCACTCAAAAACTTAGGAGAATCAATTTCATTAAGATAGAAATGATAAAATCCTAATTTATCTGCATAAAACCCTGACTTCTTCTCATTTGATGAAAATAGTTAATGTTGATAGAGGGAGCTTAACCTCTTTATATCTTAATTTTTGATGATGCACAATTAAATGATTATTAATGGTTTCTTGCACAACAAATGATATAACAATGTTTTATCTTTATCATGATTGTGTTACATATGTGAATCCATTAATTTTGAATGAGTCAAACTTAAAACAGATTGATAATCTCATTTCTGGCATAAATAATCAATTAAACCAATTATATAATCTATTAGATTTAGCCAAATCACTTAGAAAGCTAACAGGAGCAAATTGCTATGTTATAATCGATTATACAAGGTACACAACCGATTAAAATAGAACGAAAGCCATAATCTATTATATAAGTGAGATAATCTGCTAAGGATGAAAAATGGATGACTAATATGGCTAAGCGTGGAAATCATCGATTACATAAGTTTGATAATCGATTAAAACAAAGAACATAGTCTAATTCATTACATAAATAGCTTAATCTGTTAAGACTGTTAAATGAATCAATAATAGGCTTAAGTGTTTAAATAATCGATTACACATATTGGATGATCTATTAAAACAGAGAAAAAGCATAACTGATTATGCAATTAACATAATCAATTATATTGCGACAGGATTTGAAAATCCTATATATATGTGTCTTGAAACCTGTTTCCATAATGTTAACATTTTCAAATACTAACAAATCTTCTGAGTTTATGTACATGTGCTCTCAAAGACACGTTCTTGAAGGAATCAAAGCTTTCTTGGTGATCAAACAACAAGGATTCATTCAAGGCAATTGGACTATATTGATTCTGATTAATTCTACACTTTGAAAAGTTTATTCAAGATCAGGTTCTTCAAACAATTTATATTGTGTACTTTTTGTTGTAAAAGCTGACAAAAGTAGAATAAAGATCACGAACAAAAATACTTCCTGAGGCGTGTAGATCAATGCCCTTAAGGACTTATCCGCGGTGTATTGCGCAAGCCCCCCAGGATACAACAGGAACTTCTCAGAATTTCTGAGGATCTCAGAACTAGCAAGGAACTCTAAATAGAGTATAAGAACAACCCAGAATAATTTTAAAAAAAGAAAAAGAGATAGAGAATGAAACTCAGAAAAGAGGAGAATAAGAAAGAATGAAAAATTGTGTGTATTGGAATGGAGGAGGAGCTCCCTATTTATAGAGTTCATGGATCAAGCCCATGATCCCAAAAGTCCAAAATATCTTTTAGAAAAATAATATTTTAATTAATTTAAACGTTGCAAAACGTTGGAGACCATTTCTTGCGGAAAACGTTGGCAGCACGTTGCATAACAAACAGCACGTTGCATAACAAAATAAATATAACGTTGGCAACTGCACGAAACTTGCGCAACGTTATATTTATCTTTTGCAATAAATAATAACACTTTTGCGGGTTAGCCAGGTTTTAAGAGTTGGGATTACTCTTGGTATTTGTAAGAGATTGAGGGTGTTCATATCTTGTGTTGCTATTTTGATTTTGAGTGGTGATAGGAGTGCATTGAGAGGGTTGTCTCGGTATTCTTGTATACTCAATCATTATAGTGGATTCCCTTCAACT